GGGGTTTCACCATGTTGACCAGGATGGTCTCGATCTCTTGACCTCGTGATCCACCCGCCTCGGTCTCCGAAAGTGCTGGGATTACAGGCGTGAGCCACCGCGCCCGGCCTAAATGTTTATTATGTAATATTTAAGATAGAAAAAAGGTACATTATGTACAGATAGTGCTTCCTCATTAATGTATGTATTTTATATTTCCCACTGTGTGCCAAGCATTAGGGATGTGATATATATTCTCACGTGCATGTGTATGTGTGTATATATTTTATACATATATGTGTATATATGTATATATGTGTGTATATATGCATATTTTTCACTGTGTACCAAACATTAAGCACATAGCAACAAACTCCTTCAGATGGAGAGGGTCAGGAGAAAATAAAGGCAATGTTAGAAAAAGGGCAATGTTAGAGTTTATTATCCAGTGCCACCTCCTTGTCTAGCATTATGCTGGATAAGCCTGAGAAAAGAAAAAGTATCCGAGGCCGGGCACAGTCACGCCTGTAATCCCAGCACTTGGGGAAGTCGAGGCGAGCGGATCACGAAGTCTCAAGAGATCGAGACCATCCTGGCCAACAAGGTGAAACCCCGTCTCTACTAAAAATACAAAAAGTAGTGGGACGTGGTGGCGCATGCCTGTTGTTCAAGCTACTCAGGAGGCTGAGGCAGGAGAATCGCTTGAACCTGGGAGGCGGAGGCTGCAGTGAGCCGATATTGCGTCACTGCACTCCAGCCTGGCGACAGAGGGAGACTCCGTCTCAAAATAAGAAAGAAAAGAAAAGTATCCTAAAACCCTGCCATAAAATAACTACATAGACAGAAAAAAGGCACTTAATTTGGTTATAAAGAAACAAGTCTGTTCACACAGCATAAAGACGAATTTTATCGTATTTTATAAGCATCACACGCAAAAACAACTAGGGTGACGGGCCTTGGGGAGTGGAAAGCGCCGGATCCTGGGAGCCAGTCGCCCTATTCGATCAAGCATTTTCTGAGGGTTCTGTCCAATAACGTGGAGACGCAGCTGAAAACCAGGAAGGAGGTCGCCGCCCTCCTGGAGTTTACAGTCTGGTGAGAAGAGCCCTGCCCTGAGTCACTGCCAAGCTCTCGTTATGTGACTTTGAATAGGGAATTTCTGTCCCTATTTGTAGAATAAATGAGTTTAAACCAGGGAATCCGTCAGTCAAATTCCGGGCCCAAAACGTCTCTGGGGCCGTGGTGCCCAGAAGAGGGTGGGCGAGGCTCCCTGGGCCTGCGCTGCGGCGGCAGGACCGCGGGAGCACTGTGCGGAGAGCGTTCGCGTTCTGAAAACGCGTGTCCCTCGCTGCGTGCCGTCGTTCCCTGCGCCGCCGCCGCCGCCCGCTGGGCCGGAGGAGGCGGAGCTGGTGCCGTCCCGGCTCCAGTGCTGGGAAGCAGCTTTGGGGGAGGCGCGGCGAGCCCCAGCGGCCGAAGAGGCTGGCAGGTGGCGCCGTGGGGTGGGCGCTCCCGGCGAGAGGAGTCCACTCCATGCGTACGGGCGGAGGCCGGCCCCCTAGAGCCGCCGACATGAAGAAAGACGTGCGGATCCTGCTGGTGGGAGAACGTGAGTCCTCATCCTCCGGCCGGCCCCGGAGGCCCTGCCCTCCCTGCCCCGGTCACCCCTGCAGCTCCTGTCGCCCCTGCATCCCTAACCCTTGCAGCTCTGGCCTTTGTCGCGCCTCACAGCTCCGCTCTCCTCTCTCCGCGCTCCTAGGCCTTCCAGCCCCTTTACTCTTCCTTTGTGGCTGCCCGCCGGCGGCCCTCATCCTGTCACCTCACCTGGGCCCTCCGAAGATCTCCTTTTCCTGTTCACTAGCCTTCCGCCCAAGCCATGTTCCCGTTATCCCCTAGCTGCCCGACCTCATCCCTCCGAAGGTTCTCTCCTTTTCCTCTTCGAACCTTGTCCTCCTGGGCCTCACAGCTTCCCAGGCCGCCTCCTTTCGGACCTTTTTGTCTTCCCCTGGAGATTCCCTTGTCACTGCCAAGCAGGTGCTAGAATAAGCAAACTGACCAATTGGGATTGCGTGAACCGGCTCCCGGGGAAGCTGGGGGAGGGGCGCAGAACTATTCGACTTGTGGGCAAGGTCAGGTTTCTGCATTTTTTTGGCACTCGCAGTCTTCACTCCCTCTGTGCATTGGCATTAAGATATGAGTAGTGGAAAGGGCCGGATCCTTTTTAGCAATACTTGTGCTTTGCATCGGAATAACTCCTGGTACTCGAGATATTGCCTCAAACATTTTTTCTCAGCTTCAAGTTATGCAAGTGCTCAATGAATTAGAATTATCTGGGGAGAGTCCAATTATTGTTAACCCAAAAGCCCTCTTTTTAAGCATTATTTATTCCATAGGTACTTGGTAGTTAATTTATTAATGACAACAGGCACACAGACATTTGATACCTCCCCCCACCCAGAAATTTCATACGTTTCATCTTTTGAACATGATAGTTGCCTCTGTTCACCGCCATGAGGACAGAGCAGCAGGGACTTCTCTATCAGTGCAAGTTATGTGACTCAGTTGCTAGGACTAAAATAGGAAAGTGGGCCCAGGAGAACTAGATTTTTTTTTTTTTTTTTTTGAGACAGAGTTTCACTCATGTTACCCAGGCTGGAGTGCAATGGCGCGATCTCGGCTCACCGCAACCTCCGCCTCCTGGGTTCAGGCAATTCTCCTGCCTCAGCCTCCTGAGTAGCTGGGATTACAGGCACGCACCACCATGCCCAGCTAATTTTTTGTATTTTTAGTAGAGACGGGGTTTCACCCTGTTGACCAGGATGGTCTCGATCTCTTGACCTCGTGATCCACCCGCCTTGGCCTCCCAAAGTGCTGGGATTACAGGCTTGAGCCACCGCGCCCGGCCTGAGAACTAGATTGTTTTAAAATGTTAATACATTCCTTAATGCTCTGCCATAAGCTGTTTCGAAACATTCTATTCTAAACCATATTTCATTCTTGGTAACCCCTCAGGGTCACGATGATGGACTCCCAAGGACTCACATTTTTACCCTCTTCTGTAGTGTTTTTTGATGTTCATTGAAATTTCATCTACCTGCTGTCTGGAAAAATCTTCCTTTAGAATTAGAATTTAAGAGTAACCTTAGCCAGACATAGTTTACTTTTTGATTTGCAGTTGTAAATTTTAGTTATTATTTATAATTATATCTTATAATTATATCTTAATCTGTATTTTTCATGGACTTCTTTGACAAAGTTCAGGAAGATGTTATTTATTTAACATATGATTCATGCTTATGCTTTTGGAGCAAGGTAGGGAAAGTGAGTAGGTTACTTGCTTAAAAAACTGATCCTTATGTATCATGAAATAGTTTGTTGTTGTTTTGAGACAGAGTTTCACTCTGTCACCCAGGCCGGAGTGCAGTGGTGTGATCTTGGCTCACTGCAACCTCTGCCTCCCAGGTTCAAGCGACTCTCCCACCTCAGCTTCCTGAGTAGCTGGGACTACAGGCACATGCCACCACACCTGGCTCTAACCTGGGCGATAGAATGAGACTGTCTCAGGAAAAAAAAAGACATCTAAATAGAAATGTTACACATATAAACAATATGTCATTCTTAGGACGTGTAAGTTAAAACATTAATAGTATTACTTGGGCCAGGCGTGGTGGCTCATGCCTCTAGTCCCAGCACTTTGGGAGGCCGAGGCAGGCAGATCACAAAGTCAAGAGATTGAGACCATCCTGGCCAACATGGTGAAACCCCATCTGTACTAAAAATACAAAAATAACTGGGTATGGTGGTGTGCGCCTGTAGTCCCAGCTACTAGGGAGGCTGAGGCAGGAGGATCGCTTGAACCCAGGAGGTAGAGGTTGCAGTGAGCTGTGATCGCCCCACTGTACTCCTGCCTGGTGACAGAGCAAGACTCTGTGTCAAAAAAAATGAATAAGTAAATAAAAATTAACAGTATTACTTATTTAGGAATATATGAAAGGATTCAAAATTTGTTAGAAAGCTTACAATCCATGTTTTGTAGAAAGCAATAAGACAATTGGTAAAACTGTATGTATCTATGTGGTACAGTTTTCTGATTATAGTGAGGAACTTGACACAGAGAAAGCCTTAGTTTTTGAGAAATAAACTTTTCTTTCTTTTTTCGTTTTTTACGAGATGGGTTCTCGCTGTGTTGCCCAGGCTGGAGTACACTAGCTGTTCACAGGCATGATCATGGTGTACCACAGCCTCAACCTCTTAGGCTCAAGCGATTCCTGCCTCAGCCTCCAGAGTAGCTGAGACTACAGGCGCTGGCCACCACGTCAGCCACAGGAAGACACTTTTCTTTTTTTTTTTTGAAGACGGGGTTTCACCATTTTGCCCAGGCTAGTTTCGAACTTCTGACCTCAGGTGATCCGCCCGCCTCAGCCTCCCAAAGTGTTGGGATTACAGTCATGAGCCCCCCGCGCCCAGCCAGGAAGACACTTTTCTTAAAGGATGGCACAAAAGCCTTAGGCCATTAACCATATATGTTATTTTTCACATTGAAAAATATCATAAATACTCAATCGAAATATATAATTTTATTTATTTTAAAGGCTGATATGTTGGGGGGAAATGTTAGAGGCTTTACTTTGTGAGATTTAATGTAAATATTTGGCATCTGTTAGCCTAGGTGTAGCACTTTGAAATGCTAAATCTTGGCCAGGTGTG